AGTTTTTTTTTTCCTTTGTTAGAAAACGTTGGAACAAAGACGATATAGAAAATGCTCAAGAATTATTACGTGGATTTCTTCGTCTATCAGCTGATATACCACTTACGCCAAAACGTCGTTCCAATTTTGCCTCTGTTAGTCAAATAAAACTTTTACTTCATAAATAAATAAGTTTAAAAAAAAGGAGGCAAATAAAGAAAACGGGAAGATAAACAATTAATTTTATGATAGAATCTAATTTTGCTAAAATAATTGTTATTTTTTTTTTTAACAAAAAAATTTTCAGGGGCATATAAATTATAAAATAATAGATCGGACGGAATATGCGATAAATAAACGAATTCTTAGCGATGTTTTTGAAACAGATCTCGTCTTAACAACTCCTCAAATGCGAGATATTATTAGCGATTTTCAACGAAGTATATATAATATTTTTTTTTCTTTATTTTTTGATTCTTGCGAATCGTTTTCTTTTTTTTGTATGTTAGAAGACAGTAAACAATTATTAGTATATTCGTTTACAATTTTACAAAATGTCAAATTGTTATTTCGATAATTTTAGATAAGTTGGGAAAAACAAGAAGAAATAAACGAAAAGTGATTGTTGGTGACACATTTCGATGGCCACATCAAACTGTCCCGTACTTTTTGAAAGAGACCGATCGTAAATTACTGAATTATTTAAATATTATAGCAGGAATAAAATTTTTACTCATTTTTTAGCAAAAAGAGTAGATTTTTGCATATTAAATTAAATTATTAAAAAAATGTATCAAATTATTAAAGCAGATTTTTTTTTTTACTCAATTTTTTGGTAAAAATTATTTGTTTTAAGCAAAGCTAAATTTAAGATGATTCATAATTAAAGGTGAATGGAGACGTACAATACTTGCTGGAATGAGTAAATGGGAACGTGAAACGTGCATACGTTTTAAAGAACGTACCACTGAAAAGGATTACGTGTACATATTTCGAGGAGCTGGGTATGTTTTATCAAATTTTCTCCATATTTTATCACTTTGCATATTTATAGCATCGATAAAAAATCGGAAATATACACAATTTTAAAATTGAATTAATAATTTTCAAGTTTTTATTTGAAATGGAGTTATTTTTCTATAAACGATTAAATATTGCATAATTTTTCTTTTTTTTTAATAGATGTTATTCGAGTGTCGGTAGAATTGGTGGCAAGCAATATACTTCCATTGGTTACGGTTGTGAAAGCGTAAGTTGTGAGAGTTTAATTAATTCAAAAAACTTTAAACGTGTGAAAAATATTAACTAAACAACTTAATTTTTTTCAATAGGATTACTTATAAAATTACCCATTATAGGGTGGTATTGTTGCTCATGAGTTAGGACATGCGCTTGGATTTTGGCATGAACAAAGTCGACCGG